AAACAGAAGGAGCACCTTCTAATAAAAAAAAATATAATAATAATAATAATAGTAGTAGAAGAGTACCTCCAACAAAAGCTGTCCAGAACATGTTAGGAGGATAGGGTTCCATATGTAAGCAACGATGAAAAGGAATTCTTTCCATAAAAGCTTAGAGAAGCAAGTAAAGTGTGTTGATTTCCATGAACTATGTACCAAACGATTCTCAATACACAAGCAACACAGCCTAACATAAAATATGTACCAAGTAAATAGCATCAACACATTATACTCTGCATTTGAGTCGGACAATTTTAAACAAATAACGTATTTGATGCATGTTTAAGTGTTTAACATCAAAAATATACATAAAACATCAGAAACGCAGGTTGAACTAGGGAATACAAAAGTGACTTAACATTGGAAAATTAAAAATTATGTTGCATCTTTAAGGAGATTAAATTCTTAACTTCACTACCTTGTTCACGTCGATAAAGTCAGACCCTTGACACTTAATTTTGAACCAAAAGCATGAAAATTAATCTAATAACCAAGGCCGACTCTTTGACTCTCATTCCACAAGTCTTGGGAAAATATCTTGAAGATCAACTCTATTAGCTAATTTAAGCTGGAATATCTAATCATTTCCATCATCTTAATACACCCATATAATAAGAGAGCTAACAACTAATTGGGCTACTAATGTTTAATTAAGACCAAGTTGGCTGCTTTCCTTTCCCATGAAATGAGTTTCAGGGTCCCAGATTAAACAAAATCTCCATACAAAGATCTTAAACAAGATAATACAAGTAGCATTTCAGAATACCAGCAGATATAAAAGATTCAGGGTCAATTCATAGCGTACGGAGTACACGTACAAGTACACGCGCACGCGTACACAGTTTGTCTTAATTTTGCTTTCTGGAGACAACCAGGGCATGACAATGGTAAGCTGAATCAAAAAAAAGTTCCATCAGAAGTTTAAGAGCACTTCAATATCCACTTTCTGCAATGCTTGTATGGGATAAAGAGAGGGCAAAAAAGGAAAGACATCATCATAAAGAGAGCTGCTTTCAAGTTTCCTTAAATTACAATACGTGATTCAGGCTATAATAAGGTGATTTACCTGTCACTAATGTCAATCTACCAGATGTATTTTGTATATTGCACAACGACATGTAACCAATAATAAAGCGAAAGGGATGGATTATCAGCAAGATATTTGGCTACGTTTCCAATCAGACTCTATAAGCCTTCCCTAAACACGGGGTGGTAATGAGCTTAGCAGGGTTGCAAACTACTTAAAACTGAACCTGAGAAGTTCATGAGCCAAGTAGGACTACTTCAAAATATTAGCCAAAATCTGAGTCATAGGAAAATTCTAACATATAGAAGAGTATAAACTTGTCACAATTTTAAGTTGAGTAGATAAGTTAAACCTGATATGCTTAGTCTGAAAAGTTCCTAAACTCAGCTCGAGCTAACATACGATGGTCAACTCATTTATCACCCCTTGTTCTGAATCGTAGATAAACAGTTCTAACAAGACCTAATGGCAAACATATTTACTGTAATGTACACTGACATTATACAACATCATGGCTGTCAGTCTCGCACATTTAACAGCATTACAGCAGAAAGCTGCAACCAAACCAAGCTGATAATAGTCATGGCCCTCGTGGGCTTAAGAGTGCGATGTGAAGTTCAACACATGTATTTCCTGAAAATCTTCCGATTTCTTGCAGGAAAATAATGAACCAATAGAACATGCAATAGCAATGTTAACCATTAACACAGCAGAAAGGATTTCAGATGCAGCATCAGAATTCATTTCTCTAGTTGTGGACATTAGACTTTCAGGTTAGGTGTTTCCTACCATGCTATTTTAAGTGTTACAGATGTCAGACTTCGAAACCAATTGTACCTGCTCAAAGACTCCTCAACGGTTGATATTTGATCACTTTCCAACGGCCAAAACCAACCGAAACTTAATCAAGTGAGGTCAAGATGATGGTATTCTCACCAAATGCAAGAAATTAGCAAAAAAACAGTTATCTTGTGAAAAATAGAATTAAAGGATGAAACATAAAGACCATGAAAAAATAGGTCTATGAATCTACATTGCACATTTGCACATGGGTCGATTCGAATTTCCATCTAGGGGTCTTAAAGCCTAATCTAAGGACATTGTCGCGCTGATGCCAAACTACAAATATCTTATTTTTAAAGAAACTATTCAAGAAAGAGACTCCCACCAAATCAAAAGCGTGAATGTGATCAAATAACTCTAAAATGGTACAAGACGTGCAATATGGTTATACACTTTTACGGATCCAAAGCATTTACTACGCAATAAATGAAAACCATCCTCAAGGAAGAATCAAACGCAAAAACATACTCACTTTGTCGGGAATTAATAGTCACTTAAGCCATTTAGGATAAACAGAAAAGTTTTCACCTTTTTAACTGTAGCAAAAATCTATACATAATGTGAGAGTATTATGATGATTCATGTTGTCATATGCTGACTGATTAACAAGGGCAATCCCTGATAAAATTATTTATTAGTACAAATGCTAAGATCTTGGAAGGTGCAACAATACCCCATTGCATCTTCAATCTTAAAGTAACAGTTTAGAATGTAAGCAAACAAACTTAATATGCCGATAGATAAAAAAAAAAAAGGGGAATATAAAGCTTAAGAAAAGCTGCTGTTTGGACCACTACCTTCATATAGCCTATTTGCTCTGAATTAGGACAGAAGAAAACACAATATAATTACTTAAAAAGGTTAACTTTATGAACAACCAAACACAATACAGCAGTTACCAAAATAAAACAAAAAATATGAAAATTTGATATCAAATTAAGGTAGCCAATTGAATTTTTACCGACCATCATAAGTGACAAAGGCTGCTGCTTTCGGCCTAGTCTAATTTTCTAATAGTATGTATATAAGTAGAATAAATCGTAGTTAATTTATTTGCTATTTTTGGCGCACTTTCTAACCACTAAATACAATCAATTCCAAAATTATTTGTTCAACTAAAACTAATCACAGATAAACATAAATCAGAGAAAACAACAAGAATAGCCATCACTGTTACAGGGAATGATATAATTCACAAGTAGCCATGTTAATATAATCAAGAAAAGATACAATGGTTAAAAACTTGAGTGGCATATAACCAATGACATTGTAAAGATTCCCTTTTTTTGTCCTTCTAGATTCAAGGTTCCTAGAGAAGGTAGGCATGGCTTAGACATGTGGGGTGGGATGGAAAAATGGCATACAGAGTACTTATCACTCTTTGGTATTGGACAAAATGATACATTCTTGAGGGGCTTTAAGTCAAGTAAATGGTTAAAAATTGAATTAAGAAACAGTTTTATACTTAAATTTTATCAACTTCTTGGATGATAATTATTTTATAAATGACCAATAAAACTCAATAATTGTAAATGATCTAGGACTCTATTTACATTTTAGAACCTATTTTCAACCATTAGATTTTGATGTCATCTTTAAAATGACCGGCAAAGAGTTTATAGGGGAAGACTAAACTACATTCTATTTCAAAATAACATCCTCCAAGATCACTAATTGCCTTTATCATCAATGTGTTTTAGACTAGTAAAGAAGATAAACAAGCAAAAAGAAAAGAGGAGCAATTAGGACCGCAGACGGTTATTTCAATAACTAATTCCAAGAACGCCTTAATAATAATAGCTAGGACAAAATTTTAAAAAGCATCACTTTGCCATCATGGCATCCATGAAACTCCTTCCTTTTTTTCTTAACAAATGTAGAATATTAGCTGCTTGATTTCATGTCATGTGGCTTGAATAAGAAAAATATAACAATATAAAAATGGCCACATTACCCTAATGGTTAGTGCTGAGATGATTGACTATTCTGTCAAAGCACCATAGAAAAGGTCAACTCCTAAGGGTTTTTAGGGTTAAAAAAAGATTACCTTCTACACCAAGATATTAAAGAAGGGACCTAGATCTTTAGAGCAAATTGGCCAAACACTACTAATATAAATTCAAATAATAGGCCATAACTTTATGTAACAAATTACCATCTACATATACGAGCACATTAACATATTATGAAGCTTTAAAAGTTTACCCAAAAAATAGGAAGTAGCCCTAATGGCTTCTTAGGTAAGCCGTAATTACAGGCTACCCGTTTTGAATGTCTATAATAATATCAACTCTACTCCTTTCTTCACTAATTTCCATTGCCGGTTAGGTCATTTTCTCTAAGAGGTGGTGATAGAAATGCATAAATCAAACATATACTGAAAGGTTAAGCTGTTATACCAAACTCAGATAGCATACTACTCTTGCAAAATCGCACAACATTACCGTACAAGCCTAGTAACCGTAATTAAGTATGAGATGATCTCATACAAGACTTTGCCTACAAACAATACTAAGAGGATAGTCATGGCACTATGAGTGTGGTAGACAAGCATGGAAGAATGAGTAGTATAGTATTACAGTATAATCCATTAGTTAGCAGATTCCTGAATTAATGGAAATGCCAAGGTTTAGGGTACTCCAGAACGCCTAAAGGCTCCTCTAGTAGCCTAAGGGATTTATCAAATATCAACAATGTGACATCGATTTTGATGCTCATTGTACTCCATTAAAAAAGAACCATTCACAAACTTTAAGGAAATTAATCTGAACTCAGCCTTATAATATCAGAAGATGCCTATTGGCTATTGGTTTCCTGACCATATTTTATCTTGACTCTGGTGCAAATATAATTAAAAATATACATACAAGTATATATTAAAAAAGTCAAACCACAGAACTCAACGAAAAATAAAAAGTCATACCACACAAAGATATACACGTATCTGAGTAGATATAAACTATCAAACCAAGTCTTATACAGAGTAATAAAATAAGATTACACAAAAAGATATAAGAATACATCTGACTAAACTAAAGATTAGATTCCTTCAATAACCATTGGTTTCAACTACTCCAAACAAAGTGTCGAATTTCTATCCAATTACCAAGGTCATAATCTTTGTTTAGCAACTAAAATATTGTGCCAACCAATCATCCAATGAAAGCACAGCATAAAAACAAAAACTGATTAGCAGGCATAGATCAGACAATTACAACTTAACAAGATGGATAATCTGCTTAAAGGTTTAAAGTACTTGGAAAAACTATTAAAACACTGGCAAGTAGAAATATACAACTGCGTATTTGTATAACTAAAATAGTGGAGGATGCCTTTTTCTACTCCCAATAAGAAGATTGATATTTTTTTTTTTTTTTTTTTTTTTGCTCAGGAGCAAGTGAGAGCGATAAAGACAAAGGATGTAAACGAGTTTTTGATTTCATACCGCTCCTCAACACTTTAACTAATTAAGGTAGTTGATCATCCACGTAAGAAAACCAATATTTTGGGTGGTTTTTTATACACTCTGACATTAAAAATTAATTTCTGCCATGTGTAAGGATATTTAGGAAAGTTTTGTAACTAATATTTTAAAAAATGGACGTATAAATCTACTACTAGAGATGGGTTTAACGTTTTAATTTGGTGTGAACTACTTAATCAAAATCAATAGTATACGTCAAAAACTAGTAATTTCGTGACCCCTCTACCCGAAGAATTGCTACCTCTATATAAGGCATACCCTCTATCAGGATATCTATTCTCTCCGCTCTTTACCACCAACAGATATTCAATTTTTTTTATGCATTTCCAAAGGATCATAACCTATTCAATCATTCATCTTTCTGACATTAATTCATTCAATATTCTCACATTCAGCTATTAGTTCCACAAACTCATCCCATCTTTGCTCTCAATCTTTTCCTTAATCCCTTCTTTCTGCAATAAAATGCAGACTTCAACATCTCATTCAAGTTCTTTCTCGAATGAAGATTCTGAGCATGACCACTATGATTCAAGGTCAGCTTCCTTCTCTTCGCTCCCAAGCCTCCCAAGAGTTCCAGGCCTTACAGTGCATCCCAATCAACTAAACCATCTTTCCAGCGCCTTACACCAGTGCATAACCACTCTCACAGGACATACCTCCTACATATTCTCTCTTACTTTGGCTGGAAAATATCTCTACACAGGCTCCTCCGACAATGAAATTCGAGTATGGAAACGTAACCCCTTCAGCTATGAAGCTGATGAAGAGAGCCTAGCTAATAACGTGGTGGCAGTTGGAAAAACTGCAGTGAAGTCTCTGGTTGTTTTAGCTAACCAGCTCTTCAGTGCACATCAAGATTGCAAAATCCGGATATGGAAGATAAAAGCCCAGGAACCATTTAAGAACATAAAATATGAAAAAGTCGCTACCCTACCCACACTTGGTGATCGTACTAAGAAACTTCTAAACCCGAACAACCAAGTTGAGATTCGTAGACATAAGAAATGTACATGGGTACATCATGTTGACACTGTCTCTGCGATAGCTTTATCGCAAGACCAGTCCCTGCTCTATTCTGTTTCATGGGACAGAACACTAAAAATCTGGCAAACATCTGACTTCAAATGTTTGGAGTCAGTTACGAATGCACATGACGATGCAATAAATGCAATCGCAGTGTCTTATGATGGAGATATTTACACAGGATCAGCAGATAAGAAAATCAAAGTATGGAAGAAACTCCCAGGAGACAAGAAGCATACTCTGGTCAACACGCTAGAGAAGCACATTTCAGGAATAAACGCCTTAGCACTTAGTCCTGATGGGTTGTTGCTGTACTCAGGGGCGTGTGATAGATCAATATTAGTGTGGGAAAAGAGTTGTGATGATGATAGCATGGAACTTCTAGGAGCACTACGGGGCCATTCCAAAGCCATATTGTGCTTGGCCACCGTTGATGACTTGATTTTCAGTGGTTCAGCTGATAAAACTATACGAGTTTGGAGAAGGGTTGAAGGAAGCTATGTTTGTCTGGCGGTACTGGAAGGACACCAGGGTCCAGTCAAGTGCTTGACTGCAGCAGCTGATGCTTACTACCCTCATAATAGCATGCCATCCTCTAATTATCTTGTTTATAGTGGTAGTTTAGATTGTGATATTCGAGTATGGCAGGTGTTGGTATCTAATTGATTCATCATCTATGCATAAAATCTAGTACCAGATAGCAAAGTATCTCCCAGCTAGTTATAAATTTAAGTTCCACAAATTGCAGATTTGCAATGTGCACTTCAGTGTTTGATGAATAATTTAAGATAATATTAAAAATTTCCAATATTGCACATCTCCAATGTTCCTAAACAGGGTAATTATCAGTCTATAGATTTTAACAATTCCAAACATAGAGGAAAGGGGAGGAGAAAACAAGCAATAAACCAGATCAACATTAAATCATGATATGACAAAAATGCCCTGGAGTCGGGTCGAATGTGATGTCACTTAGATAAATAATATTATATTTATAGGATAAGAAATTCTATAAAGCTTAATGTTGACTAGTTTTGTCCTTGCTTAATGATCTACAGGCTAAAAACTTGAGTTTCAGGAAAGCACAACTTTTTTCTTTATTTTGGTGGCTAACAGTTTGCCAAACTAGCAGATTTAGGTGCGACATTGAACATAGAAAAATTACATAACATAATTGTGTTCATCTTGACTGACCAAAGCATTAAAACTATTACCTATTAATATATTATAGGTACAAAAGTACACATATAAAGCAGAAACAACAAAAGGTTTCTCAAGCAAAACATGAAAAAATGAGTTCACTTGGCCAATGTCTCCAGAAGCAATTCATTCAATCTGTATCAACATTTTCTACATTTTTCGACCAATAGAATTTAAAAAATGGAAAATGCATCTACCTACAGCAATCTGCCTAAAATTTACAAGTTTGGACATCATTTACGCAATTCACAAAAAAGCAACCAATATTTCATAAGCATATGTAAGACCTGACTCTCTAAATTATTGGAGATGAGCAGAAGGATTAGGACAGGTCAGATCTCAGCTAGGAAGGTTGAAAGATAAGATCAGTCTATGAATATGATGTTTTGCTTGCAATACAAAACCATTCTAAGGGACACCCTTCTTAGCAGGTGGCCTCGTGGTTGTCTGGTTCTCATAGTTCATCTTCTACAATTTAACTTCTAATTGTTTTCCAAAAATAAAACTTTGGTCACATTTACTAGTACCATTAACAGTGTAATTCAATAATATAAATTACCGCCTTCATGGGAGCACCTTTAGTGGCTAGAACTCAAACAGCCACAACTAAAGTTGTTATATTGAAGTCCCAGACATAGTTTGGACACATAACCACATTCATTGTCCACAACAACCAGAGTTAAGTCAACCAGCAAAATATTAGGGAAGCAGCCAAATGCACACCCCCTACCCTTCCCCAACAAAAAAAAAATTGAAACACTTTAGCAATCAAGCCTTTAAAAATAATATGCTCCCTTAAGCACTTGCAAACCACTGCTAATAAATAACTCCTATAACAGTCGGAAATTATAAAAATATTTAAAAAAAATGTAAACAAACTTTATAACAAATCTACGAAGTTCTGTATTATTGTATAATGCTCAAAGATCCAGACAAAAAGCATGTTGGCCAATTGTTTCAGCACAAATACAGAAAAGTTGCTCAATGATTAGCAAAATTATGCCGATCATAGTGCTAAGTTTGCACTAGATGGCAGATGCATTAGCAAATTGCAGATATTAATTACAAAGGCTGAGAAGCACTTCGTAGCAGCCCTCTAAGGCAATCAATATAATGCTCTACACTAGAAGAAAAAAAAAAAAAAAACAAACAAACGTGAAGTCCAAGCACTTTCTGTATGGCTCCTACATTCATACTGACAGATTTCCAATTAAATTATTATGTAGATTTTGTTTTTCAAAACGGTACTATATAAAATTAGGGAACCCTTCTCTGAGTTGTATTCCCTAATTTATCAAGAAATATAACACTGCGACACTTGCATGCTGTGAAGGTCAAACTTTTGAAATTAAACCCTCTTAATTAAAAACGTTTCATAATCTTTATTGTACTGTATGATTATTATATAGTACTTTCATGTGTATTTTCTTTTAAATTATTATTTTGTGAGAAATAAACGGTCAAAATTTGACATCAAAAATATTGTATGCTATCTTATAAAACGAAGAGAGCAGAATCCTCAACTTCTAATTCTCTCAATATAATCATTCTATTTAGTATCAGACATTCTGCAAGAAACCACAAGACTGTATTACATACAAAATGGTGCTACTTGAGATGTTGCTAGACACTATTTTCATCAACAAATGAATTTACCTTTCACCAGAGAAAAACAAAATCTCACTGGCCTACCAGAACCCAATGATTAGTTAAGAAAGAAGAGGAAGAAAAAGACAAGTCACACATGACTTGCAACATTGCGAAGAGCAAAGAGCTAATAAAACCAGCTCTTGCTCCAGCATAGGAGTTATGTTACATTATGCATTATGGTTGAAATTGTTGAAATAAATTACTCCAAAATTTTAACTATCTAAATTGCTTAAAAGAACTTCAACAAGCAGCTAAAGAAGAGGGAAAGAGACATGGATTGTATATGGATTGCAACATTAAGGATTTTCAAATACCAAATCAAACCAAGCCTATTTCAGGTATTAGAGTTTGTGATACATTGATTCTTGCCAACATCTTTGTATAGCGCAAAGACTGTATATTATCTGGCTACATTATGCAGTATGGATGATAATAAAAACTCCAAGATGCAATACAGAGGCAAGTTGCCAGACTATAGTGGAAACAAATAGAAGTCATTCATCTTGATCACTCATAAGGGCATTTTTGCTGGTGTACCTGGAGAGCGGGGATACTTTCTAGAGGTAGGACGGTCTTTGAAACATATGATAGCAGTTCGCTGTCCAAAAGGGCCATGTGATTCCACTGAATAGGAAATAATAAATTGTCATTTTCTCATACCAGTTATTAATAAAAAGGCTAAAAAGTTGTTTACACATAAGCAATGTGCATCTGCTTTAAATATAATAGCAAACATAGTATCTATAGACAGATGTTCTCATCTCAATAAACGCGGAAAAATGAGACAGTCATCAAGGTAATACGTGGCATGATATCTAAAACACCGTGACGTACGTATGTGTGTTCTATATTTTTTATTCTTCCGGCTTTATCAGTTAAAAACGACATCAATTAAGAAACATGCATTCACATAACCCAACAAATCTGAGTTCTAGTCAACAAGTGAGCATACTCCAACAGTTGGAAACTATTTGTGCCCCTTAAATGGAGTTTGTAATTTTAATTTCAGTTTTAAATAAACCTCAATACCAAATCCTTTTAAAATCAACTCATTGTAACTATTTATTAATTGCATTGTCACAACTTAAAAATTTTCCAACCAAGCTTACAATTTTCAAGTTGATGTATACACCATCATATGAAAAGTTCAAAAGGAGACAAAGATTCTTTATTCATCAGCTTTTGAATTGCTATGTAGGAGCAACAATCGTTGCATATCAATCAAGAGTCGCATGGAAACAAAATCTTAGGTGAGGCGATTTTGGTGAGGCATTCCTCCGCATTTTGTATTAACACTATTGCACAACCTTGGTGCATCTTAACCTTTATGTACAGTGCCTCTCATTATAATAAGGCAAGACGGCATATTTCCAGCCACCCTACCTTGGAATAATGTTGATATTAATACATATATACAACATTACAATGTACGTCATAGAAAGGGTCACAAAAAAATCACCATATGTTCCTCACCAAACACAGGCGGGAAACAAAGAACTAAAATCAATAAAACCTGATGAAGTAAAGCACGAGTTGGATGTTAGCCAAAACAATAGCCTACTCTTGCATAATAAGAGGGAATGTTGTAATCTTCCATTTTTTACATAAATAACTCAAGTTATACTTATTAGCATTATATAAAGAATATCTTTAAGAGGACTTGAAAGGCTACCTTAAACAAGTTAAATCAAGATGTAGAAGAAGGCTTAGTTGAGCTAAATTGCTCCTTTTATAACAGGACTAAGTTTGTCTAAATCGGTAAACTTAATCATATATGAGTTTGTGTGAATCAGTAGAATTTACTTATGGTCTGTATTATAGCAATAGAATTGTGGTGATGATCATAAAAGTGCAGATGAACAAAGTTCTTGAATCAATAAATAGTAACAACTTTTTTCATATAAAACATTATATCAATGATTATACTTTTTTTTAGTAAGAATGAATAATGATAAGCAGCAGTGCATACAAACTTTAAAGGCAAGATTATTTCCTCGAAAGCATACCTAAATGCTGATGCAAAAGAGAAGCACCCAATAAATTTATTGCTCTTTCAGCATTTCTAACTTCCACCTGTTCAGAAATAGCAAATGTTACAATCAGTTGATGATTAAGAATACTAAAAAAAAAAAAAATTAAAAAAAGCATGCAGTAATCGATGTATGCTGTTGAAGCAAAGTATATGAGCTAGGAGGACATTTGAAAAGGGACTCTTTTTTTGGGCATGAGTTCATTGTATGGCATGTCATACTTATACAACTGTCATGCTGAAAGGATTGCAGCCACAACTGCCCCCAAAACACGAAGGACAAAATCATGGATCAGATTGCAGAATATGCAACAGCATAGAATTTCACTTTCTTGATGTATGTTATATTGTCCCTTTCCTTGGGAAAGAGGAGAGGGGGGAGGTATTCGGAACACAAACTTCACACTTGTCATCCACGTATTCAAAACTCCTGTCTATATATAAACATCCCCTCACAAACTATAAATCTAATGAAAATCAAACATCGCCCACTTTCCAATGGTCAGAGTAACCTAGTATACACATCTATCATAATTTAAAATTCCTTACCACTTGGGAGCAGGACAGTGGTTTTGAAAAGTGATTAATGTTTGGAATGGAAAGTCAAATTTCAACTACAGTTGATTAATTCTAAGGATATTTATATATTAATATTTAAATTAAGTAGGCAAAGTTCAAAAATAATCTTAGCACAGCTGAGACGGCTGCAACCTGCAGACAACAGCATAAGAGCAAAAACAAAATCCTTCTAGAATCTAATGGTATGTCATCGAATCACTGCTTATAAAGGATATTAAATGGATAAAGATATTTGACGTATTTGTATCTACGGCGACAGGAAGAATAGAAAAGCAAGAGCAGATTAAGACAGAAAAGCAACATGACATGGAAATTGGTTGACTGGGAAGTAGAGACGTTGAAAAGTAGATATCTTGCTGCTCAAACAATAAGTCACTAACCAAAGACATAGTAGACGAACATAGGTGTGAGCGTTTCTAAAATATGCTCTTGTTGTGGAGTATTAGTTAAGCCTCTAGCAGCCTTTGTTAGCTCTACTCACACCTAGCTGACATAAATCAAATAGTTGATATTTCGTATAAGTTTATTTATAGACTAAAGTTGAAGCACCAATTAGTTTTGTGGTCAGGATAGGTAGTATTCTAATGATAGTGCCATAACAAGCATTTGAAGCTTTGAGATAGAGTGCTGCAGCATTGGCAATTGCATAAGCTTCATTGTAAGATAACTAGGGTTTATATTCATTAATGATCGACAAGGCTAATACAATCATTTTTTCTTTAATAAGTCTTATGTGTGCTGTAACAAATCTGAACATTCACATTCACAATCAGATGCTGTATTAGTCAGTTATGTGCTCATATATGAAGCCTTTATTGAATAGTATAAGGATTAGCTAAAAAGGAGAAATTTTGGTCCAGTGATATGTCCAAAGGGTTACAGGAAGCCAGCAAGATTGGGCAGGAGCTAAATTAATAACCATTTAGATCTTTATCACTCAGATTTTGTAGTTAAGAAGCTGAACATTTACAAATGGTATCATCCCAAAAGCCAAATAAACGTAGGGGGAATGTCCACTCTCCAATATGGGATAGTACTTAAGTTCAAACTGTCTAGTACTACACAATGCAAAAAACTATACAATAATATCGGCTCAAAGGGAAGTGTTTAGAAGTAAACCAACAATAATGCCACCATCTCAGGGATGTGCATGTTGGGCAGGGGGGAAAAAAGGAATGGAAACCTAACACACAAACGAGATGAAAAACAGTCCTTCAACCCCTGATTTTCGTTGTAAGTTGGATCAGTTTACCTGCAGAAACCACATGTCAGATGCTGACACAGTGATACCCTATGGCCTCTGCTATCGTTAGACTGCTGGTTCAGTAAAGTTCGTTAAACAAAATGATTCCCACAATTATTAATCCTAGCTCGGTAATGTGCAGAGGTCAAAAGAGATTAGTCTCAGCTCTTATCAAATCAAAATAAGGCTCAACAAAGTGGGTAGTTGAGTAGTTCCATTTTGACATCAGATGAACAGAAGCTCAATTGACACAATACTTTCTTGGGTGCAAGACAACTTCATATAATGCATTTTAGAGTTTGTAACCCAGCATGTTGAGAACGTCTGATTGAATAAAGCACAAGGCTTCCCCTCACTCAACAAATTCCACCATCCAGCTTACGCAGTATTTTTTAATCATAGTTTGTTTATAACAACCAGATAGAATAGAAAACAAATTAAAAATATTAGTACAGTGTTACAGTATTGTTGTCAAGCACACATAATTGCAAAGCCCAGGAAATTTAATAGTATATTCATTATTCATAATAAACAGGCTTTGTTTTTCACCATGTTTTTCTCTATATTGCTTTTATGCAATAACAAATTATTACAGTTCCACAAAGAACATCGCAGTTCAAACATAATCATAGCACGTGAAAAAGTAACAGTAACTTCAAGCCATGAACTCCATTTTTGTGAGCGCTATTGACCATAAAATAAAATAATCAGAATCTTACTTGCTATGTAGCAAGATTTTCCTTCCTACATACTACTGTAATATTGATGCAGATTTTATTTTCCTTCCACAATGATTTATCCCTTCTCATCTACATTCAGTAAAGACAGTCATCTATCTGAAATTTTAGTGTTCATAACATCTATAGCTCCTGAGAAGTAATTTTGACAATTGGCTTTACTGGATAGTCTTATCTTAAGGTTACTAGCTTTGGATATATACTTCATTTTTCAGTTTTTTTTGGTAAGTGGTAACAGCCGTAACACAAACATGCTAACATACTCAACAAAAGCATTGAATGTTGCAGTCCTTTTACATAGAGATTGTTTTAGTAAACTTTGTGAGCATAGTTATATACTTAGCTCACTTCCCTATCCTAGAGAAAGGACCTATTGCCTGAGTCAAGAGTAGCACACCATATTATGAAAAGGATTAACTAACAAAAATATTAATAATAGGGCTATATAAGCAAAAGAAACATTGGATACCTGAGGGTCATGACCCTTTGCAGCTACGAACAGACCACCCATGCGAACCAAAGGAATACAATACTCAGCTGACCATTAAAAGAAAATCAAACATTCCATGAGAAGATATAAAGAGCTTCACAATTGTAATGAACAGCTATAATAAAGAGCTAATCAGCACCTAGAACTCTCAGTTCTGCAACAGCCCTAGCAACAGCTATATCGAATGATTCTCTGAACTCCAATGTTTGTCCAAAATTCTGCCCTATAGCCAAGGATATTTAGTGTGCAAATAAAGAAGTAAATTACTCAATCACACATGCCCATATCTTTTAAGAAAAAAAAAACACTAAGAAATTACGAAAGAAATACCTCAGCCCTGTCACGAACAATTTTTACATTGGACACACCAGTTACATTAATTGCATGCTCCAAGAATAAGCAACGCTTGTTCATTGACTCTAGAAGTGTAACCTTCCAACCTATACATAAGTAACACTACTAGATCAAAACGTAATAAGACAAAACAATAATACGATGAATCAAAACCCAACACTGGTTGACATTCAAATCAGCATCAGTCTAACGCAATAACATTTCCTAGTAGCTATAACCCATCCATTATTGTGTAGGAACTCAGGTGATTCTATAGTTTGACTTTCAGCATTAAACTTACAAAACTGTGACATAATTTTCTACCAATGTATGAAAACTAATTATTTATGAAATTCTAATAGTAGTAACTCAAAGTCTCAAACTAACAAAACCAAACTGTTTAAAAATGTTTCAAAGATGCAACTGAGAGACCAACTAGAACAATCACTCTGAAAACAATGAGCTTATAATCTATTTCCTTATATATACAACATAAATACATAATGACCATATGCAATATGCCTTGGTTAAAATTCAAATCATGTATTCGGGTTTGCCGGCTAGGCGGCTACATCACTCCATTCGTAGCATTCCTTACACCAATTAAACTTTACATGAGAGAAATTTAAGTAAGCACTAAGATAGCTCATAAATTTCCACAAATTTCACAACAATTTATAATTGTAAGTAAAAATTAACAAATACCTGGGCAAGCAATGGCTAAGATCAAACCCGGAAGCCCGGCACCAGTGCCAACATCAACAAGACTCACACTTTCACACGAAGAACCACAATGTGAAGTGTAAGACTCATTAATAGGCGGAAGAATTGCGAGTGAATCTTCAATGTGCCTTTCCATTACTTCACTCCTCTCTGTAACAGCAGTTAAATTCATCTTCTGTAATAAAATAAAACACAATTCAATAACAAAAACAAAATAATTAATACTAATTCAACACATTGAACATTGAAGAAGCAAGAGAGAGAAAAGGGACCTGATTCCATTCAAGAAGGGTATCAACATATAGAGAAATCTGGTGTTTTTGATGAGAATTTAGGGTTTCAAAGTGAGAAGAATTGATGGGTGTTGCAGTAATTAGGGATTTGCGGGTGTTTGCAGTGAATTTGAAGGAGTTGGGTTTGTGGTACGGAAGGTGTTCGATGAAAGTCCTGAGAGAAAATGGGGATAGTATGAGTTTACTACGCAAGCACAACATTGTGTTCCCGCGCTGTGTTTTTTTTTATTATTATTATTTTTTTATTATGGGGGAGATGGGTGATATACTCAATAGTTTTCAATCACCAAGATTTGAATTATGGATATTTATTTATATCACCATGCTATAAATTAATATACATATTAGCAGGGTGATAATAATTATGGAGTTTTTTTATGCTATAAATTAATTTAATGTAGTCCTAGGACATATGTTTAAGAAGCTAAAAGAAAAATGTATTAATAAAATATATTTATTAACTATACTAATTTGCTCGTGATTTTGTCATACATTCCCAAATTTATACCAAAAAAAGAAAGATATTAAATGCTTATCTGTAGCCCTAAAAGTTGCATATAGCTAGGGATGTCCAAACATCGGTCCAGACTGAATAAATGGACCAGACCTGACAGGACCGGACTGAATTAATCGATCCGGTCTCCGAGTTGAGAAATTTAATTTTTCGTGGTCCAAAACCCTATAAGAATCGGTCTTGGACCGAATCGATTTTTCGCTTAAAATTATGCATAAATCCTTAAAAAATATTAAGATTATCCTTAATTAGCTTTAAAAAACTTTAATTATTAGCTTTTTTGTACTAAACATACATAAAAAGACGTTAAAAATATTGTTTTTTCTTTACTTTTTTCGAGTTTTTCATAAAATTATTAAAAATTTAGAAATTTAAAAAAAAAATTAATTGGTCCACAACGGTCAGGTCCGGGTTTTGGAACGATTTTTTCGGTCCGAGTCGGGTTCGATTCCAGCTTTATCGGTCCAGTCTTCGGTTCTTGAAATTCGAAATTTTGGTAGGGTCCAATCCGGTCTTGGATCGATGAAAAACCCTACATATACCATTATTCATTAATTTATCAAAAGAAAATATGGAGCAATTTAAATAACTGTGCATGACACATGACATAATCTAGACACAAGACACCTAGTTACCATTGATTTTAAAACTGAACATGACTTGGAGAAATTACATATTTACCCTTACTTAAAAATTTAGATTTTCATAATTTTACCCTTTATCTCCTATCACTTTCAATTAGCCACCATTTTTACTTTTCAATCTTCAATTCTTTAATACCCCCCCTTTTTCCCTAAATATAGTTCTCATTTGACTTATTTAGACATTTAAAACACGTGTTGAAGAGAGGAAATCAAATTTGGAAAAAACTCAAAGGGGATGCCCCCCTCTCGCCCACAACAATAGAGAAAGCATTTCAAACATCAAAGTATAAGCTCACATATTTAAACAAAATAACATTTGCTTCTCCCACTAATGTGGGACCAAACCCCTTCCCTCCAATATATAAACCAAATAAATCTTCCTTATCCCATCAATATGGGACAAAGAGTTTTCCTCCAAAATAAAATAAAAGTGGATTGCTAAATATCGCCCGCAAATCTCCACATAAAGCCCACAAATTTTCTTTGAATTGACACTTTTGCCCTTAATATATAAAAAAAAAAAAAAAAATCCTCACACACTCTCATCACCCAACCGCTCACCCATCTTCTTTCTACCGCAAGGAATTGGCGGCGACGGAGGTGGAGGAAGGCGGTTACGGTGACAAGGTAATTTTTTTTATTTTTAAATTTAAAAAAAAAAAACTCGAAGAGGGCGGGGCGCCTGGCCAGGACGCCATGGCTGCGCCCAGGCCAGACGCCAGCTCCACAGCGGCGGCGGTGGCTGGCCGGGACGCTAGGGCCACGGTGGTGGCGTCTTGTGAGGGCGCCGCCGCCATGGGGCTGGCGTTTGGCCTGGGCGCCGCCACCCTTTTTTTTATTTTTTTTGTTTATGTTAATTTTGTTTTTTTAGTTTTCTGTAATTTTTTTATTTTTTTCAGATTTTTTTTTGGTTTATGTTTATATTTTTTTTTCATTTTATTGTATATTTTTTTTTGTTTATTTTTATATATTTTTTTCAAATTTGTTGTATTTTTTTATGTTTATATTTAAAACAATTATTTTTTAACATAACTTATTAATGCATATTTAATTCAAATTTATCAAAGTTAAAAAACCAAAAAAACAAAAAAAAATTAAAAAAATTACAAAAAGTTTAAATAAAATTAAAAAAAAGGAAAAAAATTACAAAAAATTACAAAAAGTTTAAATAAAAAAAAAATAATACAAAAAATAGGAGTGGCGTCTGGCCAGGACGCCGCCACCAGACGCCACAGCCATGGTGGCGGCGTCCTGGCCAGACGCCACCGCCACGGTTGGAGCGTCCCGGCCAGACGCCACCGCCACGGTTGCGGCGTCCCGGCCAGACGCCACCGCCACGGTAGTGGTGTTTCGGCCAGACGCCACCCCTACTTTTCGTAATTTTTTCCCCGGACTATCTCGCTTTCCGGCGACGATGACGGCTCTTCGGTGTCCCTCAGCAATCCACTCTAGCTCCACATTCTTCGTGAAAGTGAATTACGGTTTCGATAAAAATTTGAAAAAGGGCAAAAGAGTCGAAGTAAAAATAATTGTGGGCTTTATGTAGAGATTTGTGGGTGATGTTTAACAAATCCCAAATAAAAACCTTTCTTAGCATTTATTTCCAACAGTTTCCACATGCTTGAAGCTCGATGGCTCTTTCAAACCTAATGTTGCGGAAGCTCTAGACATGCTTTGAACATAACAATTGAATCGGGGTTCACAAGGGTATGCTTGGAGTCAGATTGCTTCAAGTTACACAATGCTTTGGCCAAATGCCTTCGTTACGATTGTGAATGATATAATGAAGCTCTCACAAAGGTGCCACTCCTGCTCTTCCTCCTTTGTGAAACATTCTGGCAACATGGTGGCCCATAATTTAGCTAAATTGTGTAGTCAATTTGATGAGCTTAGAGTTTGGATGGAGGATTTTTCAAGTGATGTAACTGCTTTTGTTATGGCTGATTTAAGCCACTTTGATGTTTAATAAAATATCTCTGCTTCCCGTAAAAAAAAAAATTTAACTATTACTAAAACAAAACGTTGTTGACGTCATTACTATCCACATGTCACTCTCATAATAAAAAATTTCCCGCCTAAATACAAGGATGATGTCATTTTTTTGAGCTATCATATTTAATAATTTTGAAATTTGAATTTTAGAATCTTATACATTACAACTACAACCTATCAATTTATCCTTAGACATGAAATAATTTTAAGTAGCACACTAATTAATAGACTCCTACATTGAAATAGTATTAGGTGACATTCAACAGGTATTATATCTTATTTTTTGATAAAAATCTAAAAAGTTTTAAAAGTACAAATATTTTTGTACAAGGTGCATAATTCTTATTTATCTTTATCCATTTCTCTAAAAAAATGTATAAATTATAAAAATAGATTTTACATAAACCGTGAAAACTAACCTAATATATATATATATATATATATATATATATATATATATATATATATATATATATATATATATATATATATATATATAAGGCTAATAATAATTTTCTTTAAAGACAAATAGATTATATTTAACATGTTAAACACAAATAATTATTTTATTTAGAGACATAGGAAGTAGCATTATTGGAGGCATAAGGATGTGGGAACATACCAATATAGTGGTAATCTTGCTTGGAGGAAGACAAGGAAGTGTCCAATGACCAATGGTTGTCCATTTTACGTGTGGTTTATATTTTGACAGAGATGATGGACATTCACTACACAACTTTCTCATACGTAATCATTTTAGACAAGATTATTATGAATTAATTAGGATCCACCGCAAATGATTTTCCTCCCCTTAACTTGAGTCATTTCTCATTTGGTGTATACCATTTTAAATTAATTCTAACTCCATTTTTGAATGCCAAATTAATTCTATATTCAAAAACAAATCGAGCCGATTGTTCAACTCAACTGGCTCGATTTGAACTCAACTGGCTCGATTTGTTTTTGAATTTGATATTCTCATTTTGGTTACATATGTTCTGTGTGCGCATGCTCGATTGTTTATGAATTCAGATTTACTAATCCCTCCGTGGTTTAGTACTATGTATAGCATGCTCTTTCTATTATTTTGATAATGCCAAAAGGGGGAAAAAGAGGAACAAACTCAGAAAGCCGGACTCAAACCGATACCATTTCAAGTCTTCATCATTTAAGTACAAAGGTATAAATTTCACAATTTTGACGATGCAGACTTCTTTGCACTTAGTTAATTTTTCGTTTTAATAATTCTGTTGGTTTACTTAGTTAATGGTTACTCTGACTACCTGGATGATTATTTTGTTTAACCGAGTTTGTTTTTGCTTGTCATCATCAAAAAGGGGGAATATTGTTGAATTTACTACCTTAATATTTTGATGATTGACTTTCATAAAACAAACTCTGACTAATGATGTTTATGAGTCTTGGTTGAACAGAAAGATTCAGGTACACAAATACATGTTCCGGAGTAGGAACATAAGAGTTTGGAAGACTTGACGTAAGATGCAAGAAATCAAGATATCCTCATAAACTCCATATACTTAGTATATTCTTGTACTTACTTGAGAAGCCTAAGTGTTGGAAGGAATTAATAAAGAAACTCGAAGTTCGTGAAGGAACTTGACGGATGACTCAGAAAACTTTCTAAACGACAGTTTTACAACAGTTTTCAAAATCCTTAATTTAAGGAAGAGATAAAATCAGTTTGAATAGATTTATTTCATAAATAAATAAAATCTAAATAATTCTTCAATTTAAAAGATAATTTTATTTTAAATTAATTAATTGTTTAAGTATCTTTTTAATAAATAAATATTTATCTTTTTAATAAATAATCTTTTAAACTGATTTTGACTTGGTAAAATTCTGTTTGCTTAAAAACAGGATGCACGTTGGACTTGAGAGTCAAGTTAGTGAAATCATGTTTCTCAACTTCCTCTACTTACATCCCAACTTCCCAGTATAGGTGAACATGGGATTGAGGGGGAAGTGGAAACATGATGGAAGCTTGGATAATCTCCCTGTAAAAATAGATCAACGTGGCTTTTTGAATGTGTGGAAAAACAACTTAAGTTTTCTGAGCATAAATGTGTTTTGAAACCAGAGTTCCTTCCATCCTTAAGTTTCTTGAGTGCATTAGGGAAATCCTTGTAATTACTTTGTAATTGGGATTGGGGTTTGTGAGAGTTGTAAGTGTGAGGCTTGAGAGAGTTCATCACATTGTACAAGTGATTCAGAGTCGAATTACAGAGAGTGTGAAACTGCGATTGAGGGATCGTAGTTGGGTAA